TAAGCATTATCTGTAAGCACGCTGTGACAAGAACTGAAGCTATTTCTAGGCAGCACCCACTTTCTTCTTGTTGGTGAGATTCCCAGAGGTCATCCTTAGGTAATGATCAACCAGATCATGGTTTGACCACAAACATACTTCTTACCCATCCCCAATCTTTCTCCAATTCTTCCCAGTGTGAGTTCACCACTACTTTTTACTACTTGGTCAGCTAGAGTGAGAGGCCAAGGGAGGTCTCTTGGGGACCCTCAGAATCAGGCTTCTGTCTAGATTCTGGTAACAGTATCAAGGGACTATATATATTGTGCGTGTGTGTACACATATGTGTAGATTATTTTTTAAAACAGAAGTTCAGCATCATGCCAATCTTATGTACCCATGGAGAAAACCATGGAAAAAAATAGTATCATTTCACAATAATATTTTGCAACTAAAAAAAAGAGAAAGAAAATACAAGCTTTAAGATGAGTTTTGATGTGGCTAAAGAAAAGCAGACAGGACTTAGCAATATTTCTAAATGCCAAAGGGAAAAGCCTGGCCAAAGGAAGGGGAGAGAACCAGTCTGAAGCAGACGCAGCTGACACGCATGGCAGAGGCACTACAATCTGAGAAATGCACATCAGGACACTCAAAAAGCTGTAGACTGTCTTGTGAGCATCTGAAGAAAAGTTTAAAATAATTAAAAATATAAATGAATTTATATTTAGATCTTAGTAACATTACAGCTAAACAAATTAACAGATGGTTGAGAAGATTTGAAATACTAAAATCTTACTCTGTCAGTTCTTTTTCAAATTCACTGTTTTTCTTCTGTTCTTCATCCAAAGTATATTCCAGAGATTGATTCAATTCAGTAAGCTTCTTCAGCTTTTCCTTCTCCTCTTCAGACTTGGAAAACAATTTTTAAAGAAAAATAATTATTTTTATTTTATTAAAAAAGATATTTACGACAGGCGTGGTGGTGCATGCCTTTAATTCTAGCACTAGGGAGGTAGAGGCAGGCGGATCTCTTGTGAGTTCTAGGCCAGCCTGGTCTACATAGAGAGTTCCAGGACAGCTGGGGCTACATGGAGAACCCGTTTCAAAAAGACCAAAAAAAAAAAAAAAAAAAAAAAGAGAGATATATACTGTGTGTGTGTGTGTGTGTGTGTGTGTGTGTGTGTGTAATGTGGTGGTCAGAGGACAACTTTCCAGAGTTGATTCTCTCCTGCCATGTGGGTCCTGGGGATTGAACTCAGGTAGTCTGGTTTAGCAGCAGGTGCCTTTACTAACTGAGACATCTCGATGGCCCCCCAAAACAACTTTTAAGAATCTAGAGTCCAAGTCTATCTTAAAAAACACTTTAATTTAATGTGTTTGAGTGTTATGGCTGCATGCATGTAAGTGCACCGGTGTCATGCAACGCCCACAGGAGACAGAAGAGTGAAGTCTGATCCCCTGGAGTTAAGGATGGTTGTTAGCTGCCATGTGGGCACTGGGATTTGAACCCAGGTCTTCTGCAAGAGCAGCCAATGTTTTTAACTGTTGAGTCATTTCTCCAGCCCCAAAGTCTTCTTGTATTTTTTAATACTATTTTTTAGGAGTTCATGTATAATGTGTTTATACAGGTTTATAAATCTGATGTGAACATGAACTGCAATGGTTCATTTTGATTGTCACTTGATTGGATCCTAGGAGACTAGTGAAACATACCTCTGTGTTGATCTGTAATGAATTTCCAGAGACAATTAGATTATTAGAGTTCTGACTTAATCAATGGACTAATCCCTTGATGGATTCAAAAGATGATGGCAACACTAGGTGGTGGTGAAAGGGAGGTGGCACAGCCTGGCTAGAGGAAGTAGGTCCCTGGAGGGGTGTCCCAGGGGGCTCTGTCTTGCCATGGTCTGTTCTTGCATGCCTTCTCTCAGGGATGAAGACTTTTTTTTTTTCTAAGCACTTGCTCCTACTGCCATGATCTTCTTATAGAAACATGGGGTCAAGAGACCATGGACTATACTCTGAAACTATTACCAAAGAGGAATTTCTCTCTTTGTGCCAGGCATTTGGTCACAGCAGTGATGAAATGACACAAGGACAGACTTAAAATGATGACTTTTTAAGCAGCTCAAACTAAGTTATACTTTCATTACTATCCTTTCTGGAATTCAAAAGCCAATTTAAGAAAATTTATTTATTTTTGTTTTTTTTAGACATGGTCTAGGTCTCCCTGTAACCCCCGCTGTCCTGAAATATGTAGACCAGGCTGGCCTCAAACTCACAGAGATCCACCTACCTCTGTCTCCCAAGTGCTGGGATAAAAGGCATGTGCCACCACTCCCAGCAAATTATTTTTTATTTTATGTGTTTGAGTGTTTTGCCTGCATGTATCTAAGAGCACCTCATACATGCAGTACCCATGAAAGTCACAAGATGTCCTTGGAACTGGAGTTATGGATGGTTGTTAGCTGTCATGTGGGTACTGGGAACCGAACCTGGGTCCTCTGCAAGAGCAGCCAGTGTTCTTAACTGCTGAGTCATCTCTCTAGCCCTTAACTAATAAATTAATTTTTATTATATGGCCAGTGCTTTTTAAATAAAAGTTTTTGCACATAAACATATATGCTATGAGAACTTGAGGAAGTGTTAGGCCATTGTCTGGATCAGCTAAAAGTTGTCTTCTGGTAATTTTTTAGCACTTATTTACTTACAAATATTTGTGTGTGTGTGTGTGTGTGTGTGTGTGTGTTTGCTCATTCTCTCCTTCCACCAAGGTTGTCCTCTTCTACTACGTAGGCTCTGGGAACAGTGGCAAACATACATCACAATGCTCAGCTTCTTATGAAACTTTTGAGTTATAGCATAGACTTCAAGATATGGCATATTCTTAACTCATTCTTTTCTTAGGACTCTACAGAAAATTCCTCATCACTTTTAAATAAGCTTAATAGGTTTTGAGCGCTTCTTTAAAATTTTCAGGGGACCAAACAGATGGCTCAGTATCTGCTTGCTGCTAAGCCTGATGTACTGAGTGGGATCCTTGTGATGCACGTGGTGGGAGAAGACAACTAACTCCATAAGTAAATCTCTGACTTCCAAGCTTGTGCCATGGCATGCACATCCCTCCTCACTCCCCAATAAACAAATAAGATATAATGAAAAGTTTGTGATCCTAATGCATCCATTCCTGTGTGGCTCCAATGTAATGGGGTGCCTTCTGACAGTCTCATCCACAGACAACTCCTCATTACCACATCATCATGTTATGACAAATGTGTTAATAAAATAGCATAACATAAATAAAATCTAAACAAAACCCACTTTTCAATATTTCTTTGGCCACAGGAAAGACTAGTCAACATAAATATTCTAGATTCCCTGGTAGGCATGTCTCCATATTGGAACTCCATGAACAGAGCTTTGTTGACTTCAACCAGGAGTGGAGTCCATGAGCACACTGCTCTGACTTAGTATTCACAGTGCTATCCTGGGATCTTGATTCCAAGAAGGAAAGCCTGAGAGGCAGCCGACATCTGCTCTGCCTGGTAACAGTAACACATTTCCCATGGTGTCAGGTCTTAGAAAGGCTGATGTACCCAGGAGGATGGGAAAACCTAGACTTTGAATTCACAGTGCCTAGAGCACTATTTCACTCTGTGAGGTCCTGTTGGAGCAAGCAGACATTTCTATGTTTCCAGTTTTCTTTTTTTAAAATCCCAACTGGGGACTGTACTCTTTTACAGAAAGATGCTTGTATAATGACTTCCATTCTTGATGAAGAATACAAATTATAAGAAATTCAGTCTCAAACCTCAATGAAAGGTTTAGATTACTAGAAAAACTCAGAATTTTAGATTAAATAACTTAAATTTCTTGTAATTTAAAACTTATTATAAAATATTAGCAGGGCAATATTGTCCAAAGTCCAGAGCAACATTACCTATATTCACCAAAA